AAGGAATGGTGAGGACTGCCATGTGCTGAAAGAACCCCATAGACTGCTGAGCAGAGAGCAGTGGCCATCCCAGAGGCCACAGACAGAGGGAGGAGAAGGGGAATGAAGATGATGACAACATAAGATTAGAAGAATCAACCAAAGTCTTTGTGGTGTTTTAAATACTAATTTTTTTTAATTGATTTAAAGCCTCAAGAATAATAAATGGGAAAAGAAGGTAAGAGAGAAGTGGAGGAAAACTAAAAATTACATCTCCATTCTCAATGGAGAAAAAAAAATCCTTGCTATAAAATGTATTACAGGAACACTTTCATTATGTAAAAGCCTATTTTGTTTTCATGTCATTCTTAGATTACATCATAAAGTGACTACAGCCATCTTGTACCATATAATAAATAAATCACTAGCTTAATTCTAGAACAAGCCAGAGCCCTAGACTTAAGAGGAAAATATTAGATCATTTTTAATAACTGATATAATTCAAGCCAGTCACCATTGAAGCAGAGTGAGATGATGTCATCCTAAAGAAATCCAAAGAGAAGCCAAGGCAGGTCAGTCTTGGGCAGGTCCCAGAGAAGCTTCCACTTAGAAAAGAACAAAAGGCTGATGGAAGCTGAATGGGACTCATCCTATGGACTAGACCACTTTGTCATGAAAATCAACAATTATTTTTCAAGTAGAGATGCCCAAGAGGCCTTCCTCATAAGACATCATGTATAAATATTTTATTCCTAGTACTATTTTTTCAAATACCAGAAAACATAAGCATATTATATGTCTGTATTCATGACTTGGGAGCAAAACTGTACATGTTAAGGCTTTTAATCACTCAGGAAAACATGAAATCAGGGTGACATATGCAAATGCTGCAGGTCTAGTCCAAGCCAAGGGGACAGTGTAGAGACTTGGAGATAATGGTCTAACAGAGATAAAAACTGAAGGGATTTTTAGCAGGTACAAACTATGAAGGAGACCAAAAACTTAACATTTAATGGTCACCAACTGCATACAGGCAGGGATTACGTCGGAGATCCATTCCTATGCACATAACTCAACTTTCACTGTAAGTTGGAACCCACTTACATAAGCAACTACATCACTTACATGGAGCAGTAATGAAGTGAAACAGTAAAATAAACCAAAGAAGCTCTATCTGTGAAGTAAGATGAAAATGTAGAGGTATTGGAGTATAGCATTAACTGAAAACTTGTGTTTTTCCTTTGAAAAACCATGCCTATTTTGTACTCTCTACTATTATATATATATATATATATATATATATATATATATATATATATATATATATCAATGTTTCTATTAGGATTTTAAATGGAGTTTCATCCAAAAGTCTTCAAGTGCAATTGATTTGCAAAGATGTGCCAAGTTCATTCAGTGGCTCCATGGAACTCCTACACCCACCTTAGCACATGACGTAACCTAGGCAGCTCCTAAGCTGGCCCCATATAAATGCACCCCTGCTACTCACACCCTTGTGCACTAACTCCCCTTGAGTATGCGTGAGCTAGATTGACTGACTTGCTTCTAACAAATAGAATGAGGCAGAGAGAACAATGTGTCACTGCAGGATTAGATTACAAAAGGCTTTGGCTTGCATGCCTTGCTCACTCACTCTGAGAGAAGCCAGTTGCCATGTTGAGAGCTGTCCTATGGGGAAGCCCACAGGGCAAGAAACTGAAGGTGGCCTCCCAGCCAACTGTCAGTGACTGAGGCCCAAAGTCCAACAACCAGTGAATAACTGAATCCTGCCCAAAGCCCTATCAGTTTGGTATGATCACTCCACCTCCTTCGTCATTGAGCCTTCGAAGGAGACTGTAAGTCCAGGAGACACCCAGACTGCAACCTCCTCTAAGAGACACCTTGAGACACCCATCTAAGCTGCTCTGATTCGTAACACAGAAACTGTGAGATAATGTTTTTTTTGTTTTAAGGTGCTAAGTTTGGGGTAATTTGTTATGCATCAACAGATAAAGAAGACAGTAACCAAGTTTGAGATTATTTTAATGGCCCCTACCAACTCCATCACTTCTCATGAAGCCTGGGGAATAGAATATAAAAGATTCACTGTCAAAACTCTATAAAGGAATCTTTGTGCCCCAGAATGCAGATACACTTTCTAATTTAGAAACACTGATGCAACCATGCTCTGGCCACATGGAGATGACCATGGAAATGTCAGTGCAGTTCAAAGTCAACAGACACATCCAGTTACAGTCCATTGATCAGAATGAACTAGAGCCTAGACCACACTTGCAAGATGAGAGACTACTTCCTGCCCAGCTGTATTCTGCTACCCAATAAATCCATCCTTAGAATCTGCTCACCCTAGCGAGCCAAATTATAGCCACAGGCCCAACCTACTAACCCTCTGGACTTATGTCATAAGGCTCCATTGCTCACTGAGAAATTCTGAGAGCAGATTTGCTCCTCCTGGAAACCTTTCCCAGTAGTCTCAATTATTTCCACTCTCCCAACCTTTCACCGAAGCCCCATGAGATCTGAGCCTATAAATCACTTACCTTGATTTCCCAAGCACCTAATATGAGGCCTAAAACATATGTGGTGATTCCTGAATGTGTGTTATAAACAATAGTTCTTTAAGATATATTTCACTCTTGTGTATATGTCTTTCTCTCTAAATAGGCTATAAGCTTTTTGAGGTCAGCGACTGTGCCTATTTCACTGTAATATCCTGAGGTTCATTGATTTCCAGACAAACATGGAGATCAGAGCAGAGAACAAGCATACTTGCTGTGAACATGGATAGCTACTTGGCAGCTATCTACAAAGAAATTATGAGGTTCTCCATCCATTCAGCATTGGACTCTTCCTATTGCACAGTAACCTAATGAAAATTCCTCTGACCTCTACAGCCCTCCTCAAAGTACAAGTACCTGCACTGTGCTCAGGTCAGGAAAGAAGAATGTGAAATTAAAAGGCAGAAAGTAAGAAAGAGAGAGAAAGCTCTTCTTTTTACTTTCATGGACAGCAAACACCTCACACAAGACAACCTTGAGTTAGAGAAGAGCAAAGAGCCTCAGGAGCCTGAATGGATCCCTGCTCAGACCCAGCAAGTCCTTTTGCAATTTTTGAAGCAATAACATAGAAGCAGTGAAAGGTGACTAAGCATATGGTCACACATGCCCCAAAACCACCTGACCAAGTAATTGTAGGGAGCCAAGACATTCACTTCTGAAAGTCAAATGGAAGTGACCAGTGTTTTGTTTCCGGCAGAGACTGTTACCTGATTATTCTGAGAACCAAAGAGGAAATATTAAAACTAAAAGCCTGTGGCTACCATGAACAATTATACACTAGTATCAACAGAGGAAAATAATTTCCTTCCTGACTCCCACTGGGCCTGTCATGCCTGGAGCAGAAGGTGTGATTAGCTAATCAAAGAAAGCAAGAGCCAACTAGTTAGACTGTAGTTTCTAGGGTTTTTCTCAAGCATTGATGCTCCATCTCTGGTCTACCTCCTTCTACCTCCTACTGTCTAGAACAAAAATAAATATGGAAATTAATAATAATAATACACTATTTCATGTCAATGTCAACTACCTCACTGAGCAAGATTGCAGATCTAACTCCTTTTCAATACTGAGAACGAATCAGTGCCTATCCAACCTTGGTGATGATGGGGCTGCAAGGTTAGACAAAAGGACATACACTGAGCATGTCCTATGTACCAGGTAGGGTGCTGGGAATTACATGCTAGATTATCTTATTTTTCTGTATGTTCAAGATGAGTCTTTAAACTAAAAAATTGAACAAATGTAATAACTTGTCATGTATGAGCCACACTTTATAGTTTGCAAAACAGGTTAGCATCTATCAACCCATTTGATCTAAACAAACATGAGAGGTAGACAGGAAAACGAAGGCAGAGGAACCTTGTTCTTTTAGGGTTGTACATCTAATCATTGTAAGACCTTCTGGTACCCCATCCCATCATATTTCTTGCCTTTTTATGAACTCACAAACTTTTTTTAAGCAATACTGGTCCCAAAAGCCTCTTTCTGTCCAGTCATTTCTTTACCCTCATAAAATCATGCAGTCCAGCCTCATCTGTGCTAGAATTCCTAAAATATTCCAACAGAGAACAGGCCAGTGTCTTAGAGACTACCCATAGGGAAAGGAATACTCACTGCCTTTGGATTTCTTCTTTCTCTCCATGAAAATGCACTGTGTACCAATTATGTGCCAGACATCCCACAAGACTCTGGGGAAACTCATGAATAAGAGATGCTTGCCTCAAGTCTCCCCACAGCCTAGTGTAGCCACAGTATTGACTCTGCCTACCACCCCTCTTTTCTAGACATGATATTCTATTCTTCCTTCTAAACACAGAGGAATTCCAAAACACAAAAGAGAGCTTACTTTACCTGGTCATCAGTACCCTTTCTGAATGTGCAACAGGATTCGAACTCAGACCCTTTAACACATAGCATTCAACCTTTTGCCTAAGCAAAGTTAGCCTCCCCTACCAGAACGGATTATTGTGAAAATAAGATGAAATCACAGAAGAAGCACCATATAAAGCGATTAAAAAAAAAGGCACTCAATAATATTACTTTCTTTGATCACAAATGTCCATAAAACTAGTCATTGACATTTTCATTTTGGTCTTTCAATTTCAAGAACACTTTCGTCCATGCCAAAGGAGAAAGAAGGAAGCAATACAATTATCAGCCACCGGAAATCATAATTTCTCCAAATTTTATTCCAATCTCTCTTCATGCCAACTTCTAAGAGCTGAGTCCTGCCTTTTCTTTGCCACACATTTTATTAGCATTATTATATTCCATCCATTGCCAATAAAATTAACTTAAGAAAAAAAGAAAGAACATTTTGGTTCTTTTCTAGTTCTTAGTCCATGTTAATTATTAGTGTCATGCTTTCCTTAAATGGAAAACACTGATTTTTAAAACATGCACATTGATTATAAAAAAGAAAAGTCTTCTTTTCTGTATAGGACTCACCAATTGAGGAAGAAATCTCTTCCCTCCAATGAGTGCTCAGTTTAGGAAAAGCCTTCAACTGAGAATCAGGTGAGTGGATTCCGTCTTCAATTCTGTTACTGAGCTTCAGTGATTCCCACCTATGGAAAATTGGAGAAGAAGGTTGCCCATGAATCTCTAGGACCTTACCAACATTAGGAATTCTGGATTTATGAACCCATTGACCAGGAAATAGTGAGAAGGATGTCAGGCTTAAAATCCACAAATCTAGTAGCTCACCTCTATTCCTCCTAAGTTCCAGGCACTTGTATTTTACCTACTAATTTGTCTCAGAATAGTGGAAAAAGAGAATGCCAGTCCCCCACTGTTCATCCTCAGCTCTCTTAGGAAAATAGCTTCATGGTAATATCACAGATAAAAGAGACAGATCAATTAGTTAGATACATGTTAGGTAGGCAAGAAACAAGTTAACAGCAAAATCTGAACAACAACAAATTAAAAAAAAAAAAAAAACACACAAGAATATTAGTTTGGAGACACATTTCTAACTATAGGAGCTAATAAGCTCTCTGAACCTTGATTCCCCTGCCTGAAAAGTAAGAGCAAGTGAGTAGCAGAGAGCTAGACAATCTTGACACTTGCCAGGAAATCCTCATTACAGGTTTCAGTTAATTAAGAGCTATTACTATTTGCTAAGGATGATGCAATATATATTCCAACACACAGATGCTGAAGCAGCTGGCTGTTTTAAATGTGTCTTTTATATGATAGTAGAAAAACTACTAATCCTATTTTCATTGTCATAATTTTAAATATCATTAAATCAATCATATAATTGTTTCATATATATTTTCTCATTCGGTCTTCAGATCTATACTAATAAAATGCTAATTAGACCAGGAGACCTTCCAGACATTCTTCCAGACAAAACCCTGGTGGTGGAGCTGAGACAGAGGTGGTTAGGGGTGATCAGGCCAGGGGGGAGGGACAGTTGGGGGCAAGAAGGACAGCAGGTAGAGTGGTTAGGAGCGATCAAGCAGGCAGGCAGGTGAGCGGTTAGGAACCAGTGGTCCCAGATTATGAGAGGGATGTCCAGATTGAAGAGGGTACAGGCTGTGCTGAGGGGCACTCCCACCCCCTGTGCACAAATTTTGTGCACTTGGCCACTAGTATCCATATAAGATCAAAGTTGCGGAATCTTAATAAAATGACAGGAAGAGAAGCTGGGGCCAGAGCAAGGAGGTGGCCACTACCGGATCCCACCATGAGTGTCAGGCAGTCCAGGGCTCCAGTCCAGGGCTTGTTCCACTGGACCCAGTGATGGCCACTTTGACAGAGGGCAGGGAGACTCGTTGGGCAAAGAGACTTTCCATTGGTCACATAACATGCTTTGGAGCAAAATCCCAGAGTCCCGTACTCAGGTCTCTGAACTCCTGCTTCAAAGCTCTCAGAGTACAGCCCGACAGCAGAAAGAATTAAGTAAAAAAATAGCCTAAGCAAGATGAGCCCAACACAGTAATGAGTTTCCTGAGAACCAGTGGTTTTCAAGAACATTAGAATTCTCAAAACCATTTCACTGAAATGAGAGAAAGGCATAATTTCAAATTTGCTGAGGAATGAAGAATAGGAGGCCAGTACTGGACTTGTGCACAGCATGGTCATACAGAAAACAAAAGACAGCCTCCACCCACAAGACCTAGGAAACCTAAGCTTCTCCTTGCAAGAGGAGGTACAAATCAGAGCAGTTTCTACAACTGCCAGGAGGGGTGTTTTCTAAACTTCCATGAAAGGCAAGGCTCTCTAACCTTGGTCCTCAGGCAACCTCTCACATACTTGCCAGCTTCCCTCAATGCACAAATGAAAGTGGCCTCCCTTTTCCATAGTCAACTTCTCTTTTAATATTTTTTTTTATTTTTCATAAGGAGAACAAGCAGCTTTGCTGAAGAGCTGTGAAATGATTGAAGTTCCCATGCAAACAAACCATTAACAGAGTTCAAATGCAATTTAAATTACCAGTTGTTAAAGCGCTCCTCAATTTTGTGGTAAGTTTCCAAGGAGAATTACATGCTATATACTATTTAATTGGTTGTTTTCTATTTTTTAGCATCCATTTATCCCCTCACCACCCTTATATTTCAGAAGTGTCTATAAAAGCTTCCCTTTAAAAAATTATATATTGTTGAATAGATTAAATCTAAAGATTGAAAAGTATCAGAGAAACAGCTGCAGAATTATGCAGCTAAGCAAAATTGATAGTTTTGACACCATTAATCATGCATAAATTTTAAATCTTAGGTGTTATCTTGTAGTACCATCATTTTTTACAGATGAAGACACTGAGACCTCTAACAGGAAAAGGAAGGGTTGACTCAAAGTCCTCTCAACTCCGTGTCTCCTCTTCCCACCACCACATGGTTGAAGGAAATGATGGGAAATACTCAATGAATTTTTCACCCATAAAAGAAAATACAAAGGCCTCTTCAAACACTCCTGACCTCAAAAGCAGAGGTGGACAAAGGCAAGTATCTTCCCAAAAAGGAGAAAAAGGAAGTAATGGCTGATGAATGAGTGTATTCAAAAGATTTCAAAATGACCAGATTCTTTGAAGGAAAAGTCAAGACACTCCTCTAGCTTCATTAATCAAGTATGAGACATTGAGATAGCCAATGCCCACTGCTTTATCCAGCCTGGAATGAGGGCCTGCCCCTGGAGTGATAGGATAAAAGATCAACAAAATCAAGGCAGGCCTTGTCACATCTGTAGATAGAAAGTATTTCTGGAGATCATTGTAAGTACAGGATGAAGTTCAGAGCTTGATATTGGATTTGTGTCAGTTCTGCTCTCTCTAAACTCGAGCTTCCCTGTCTGCAAAACAGGGCTAATACCCATCAGGGAGATTGTAATCTTGTCCTGGGATTCCATATCCAGCATGCACAGCATGGAGCCGGCACAAAGTCTGGATTAGAACATTGACTGCTGTAGTTGCTATAATGTCTCAAAGCATATTATTCTGCCATTCTAACAATATGAACTATAACTGAATTTTACAAGCTACATATGTTCCCTAACTGTGTTAGATGCCATATATCCCTTGACTATAAATTCATTTCTTTTTCATTTAAGAAAATAAAATAAAACAAGTGCATGAAAACAACATCCAAGCATTTTTCTTCAAAAGAAGACTTTGGAGAACTATTTAAAAATGTCCTTCAAACCCAGTTTATGAACTGTACAGCAGAAAAATAAATGTCCAGAACCTCATGTAACTTGCCCGCCAACATTAAGAGAAAGATTTCCTAATTATCCATTGGGGGAACTAAGGTCAGGGACATCAGGCAAGGTTTCAGGACTAGGAAACATGAAAGGCAGGAATTGAACCCTCGTCTTTGAAGGGTAGAAAATGGTAAAGTCATGACTTGAACCCTGGTCTTCTAAAGCTCCATGACACAGGTTTTATTACTTTGCACTTACAACCTTACTAGGTGCAGCTATTCTACTAAATATACCTTAAAAATCTACCTAAAAAATAAAATAAAATAAGATAAAATAAAACTCTTCTGCTTTTTTTCACATTTCAAGGAGGAGCTTTGGGATAAAAAAGTAAAAGCTTAACTTTCAAACTAAAAAATTTTTAAAAAAATAAAAAAGTTAATTTTAGAAGCAGATAGATCCCTCCTGAATTCTACCTTCCTGTATGTTCTTAAATGAAATAAGCTCAGAACCCTGACTCTTAGCAGACATCTGTCCAGTATATGGGAAACAGGCCTGAGAAAGGTTACCAATGAACTAATATCAGGCCAATTCAAAGAAATAATTCAAATAACTGGGCTCACAATCAAACAAATCACCAATAACTATAGTATGAGCTTCTGAACACCACTCAGTGTCATGTGCCCAGCATTCAGAGGTGCACAAAGCAGATATCTGCTCGCACATCTTGTCCTTAGGAAGGCACAGTGCATGGACCTAGCAGGTGTAGTCAGTTAGGCATGCCTTGAGCTCTCGAAGAGCTCATAACCTCACTGGAGACCTGCTTGAATATGTACAATAGAAAGAAAAGTGTGCAAAGCACAAGTACACGCAATGTCTTTTGGAGGGTCTGGAAGAGCTCTGCAGATGCCTTCTAAACTGAGCCTGAACACCCAAGAGGATTTCCACGTATGAGGGGGAGGAAATAGGCCCAGGGAACACAATGTGCTAACTCCTTGAGGAGGATGAGTTCAGGGAGTTCTTGGGGAAAGTGACTAATCTGATGAGGCCAGTGGCAGTACACGTGGAGGGATGCAGTGGGACACGAGGATGGAAAGGAATGTTGCGGGCAGAACATGGAGGACCTGTGTGCCAGGCTAAAATATTTGGATCTTGAGACTCATGGGTATGGCATTTTAAGAAATGACTCAAGAGAAAGTTAAATGGTAGGACTATCTTTTTAAGAATGGAACCACGTTCCATGAACAGTGCTCAAGCCTAGAAATGGCGGAGTGTTTAAAGGAGCTTCCTCTGAAAAGCCCAACTCACAGAAGAGTAGGTGGCTCTCAGAGTTATCCCAAGTGTCCCAAACCCACAACTCCATGGACCCTTTCCTCTCATCTAAAAGTCTCCCCCATGGAAGACCCAGGAAAGAAACTAAGTATCATGTTCCAAGAAGGATTTCCACTCTATCTATAGAGACTTAGGGAAATGCCAGCACTGCCTAACTTGGAAAATGGGAAAAATAGGCTGAACACAGGCTCTAGCCTTTTTCCTGTCACTGAAGTGGCAGGAGCCAGAGGCCTAACCAGCAAGTACTGTGTGTGTCCAAAGCTCGATACCTCAAAGCTTCCAGCCAGTCCTAGCACTATGTGACTGGAACCTTTCACTAGGAATAAGCCTGCACTCATGTCACCAGTTAAGTTGCATGGAACCCCTTCCCTTAAAGGAGTTTTTGTAACAGATCCTATATGTTAAAGACACAGGCAAGATGTGATTCCCTTCCTGCCCTTCAGAAACTTCTAGTCTGGAAGGAGATAAAATATCAACAGAGTAGGAGATGGCAAGTGCCTTAGAGGAAGCACAGATAACAATATAATCCTCATCACAATTCTATGACTTGGTGTGATTATTTATACCCATTTGACAGATGAGCAAACTTAGGCTCAAT